CACACACACACACACACACACACACACACACACACACACACACACACACACACACACACACACACACACACGAAGCGTCATTCGCATTTCTTTCCTTACCTAAACTGTAGATGACGTCAGGGTCAGAATTCCGGGAACAGGTCTGATATCGTCTGGGAATTCAAAACCTTTTGGTTCTTGTAATTGATTTTTGACCCGCATTTAATATCATGGCTATCGTAATCTATTCAGGAGTATGAAAAGTAAAATATTTGTCCATTTAACAATATGAAAAATAAAATATTTGTTCAGTAAAAACTATAAAATCGGGAAAGATAAAATATTTAAACAATACAACATAAAAGTTTTTCTGTATGAAAACAAATCCAACATTTTTTACTTTTATTATTTTTATTTTTATCTCTTCTTTAAGTACTATTGAAAAAGTTATTTTTAATTGAACTTTATTTGGTTTTACTTTAAGAAATGAAATTAAAAAATTGAAATAAAATGCAATTTTTATTTGAATTTTGGCGGCCTCGATTTTATTAAACTTTTGCGCGCACCTCTTTCGGCTTTGACTTCAGCTACACAGGCTACGATCATCGAAGAACGACCTTCTCTGAGGCCTCGTGCAGGCTTCCTACATGGAGCAAAAAAAGTGCCCGCTGGGTCATGGAACCTTCGATGGATATAGGCTATATAGGTTTCTCCGTATGCCTTCACCCAGTCCTTATTGTTGCTGCTCCGCGACGGGAACTCGTTTTGTAAACGAAACTGGTATCACGCAGGCAGTTCATGTAAGCTGAGTTTATATTATATAGAATGATAAAAAATAATCATTATAAATTCAATAAACTATATATCGAGTGCATCAACTGAGCAAAATAAACCGCGCGCTTCAAAAACATCTTTTGTATCGTAATCTGCAATTTATAATCGACAAATTATAAGATAGATATATTGAAAAACTGTTTTTTAGTTAGACAAAAATTTTTTGATATTTATTATATTTAAAAAACATTGGCAATATAATTTATACTTGAATTTATACTTGTTGACGTTAACATTATAAATGCGATTTAATGATAATACGTAAAATTTTAAGAATTAATTTATAGATTGAATTTTTTGGATAAATTAACATTATTAACATGCATCAATATCTAAATGTGCTAGCTTTTTTCTACTTATTTTATTTATTAACATAGCGGTTTAATTAACTTATTGTTTAATATTTATTGTTTGAATTTTTGCGAAATTTATAAGAAATATATAAGAACTAGATGGAATGTACCTGCCATTTTCGTTTTTTTTCTCAACGATTGCACTCGTTTACTCCTGCACATTTTACAGCCGCGCTCTTATCTATTTGCATTTCCATCAGCTTCTATAAGGACGTTCAGTGCTCCGTGAGAAAAGTAGTGCTATACCGAAAGGAATGCTAAGAATTTACTTAATAATAACTTCCTTTTGTGTATACATGGCAAAACCAATAGAGAAATCTGGACTTTCTGATATCACATATCCTTGCGTTTGCGTTGCATCTTTTACTCATGTTCCATTCAAAACGTACCATTTAATTGTAGTCTATAATAATAGAAAAAATTCTAGAAAACACGCGAGTCTTAATTTATACAGATTTAAAGAAACCCTTTGTATCTTGGTTATAAATATTACATAATCTTATACATGCATATATTTGAAATATTATTTTTAATATAATTTTGAAACATTATTTTTATCTTTTGTAGAAAAATATTATTCCTTTCAGGCTTTTGACAAATGTTTTATAATAAGTACTAGGATAGTTACACACAAAAAAGTGATAAATATATAGTAGTAATAATAGTAATAGTTGTGAGGAGCAGATGAGACTATATTAGTCCCTATACATCATTTAGATTTTTCTTCTGTAACTCCCACTAGGCCAATATTGTGAACCGAGCTTTATGAAACTGTTCAATTTTGCCTTCCTTTACTAATT